GGTTTTTCTAAAATCGCAGGTAGAAGTTGAGGTACGACTTGAAATTTTCAGAAAAATTCACAAAAGTTATAATGGGGAAAGATAGGAGCAGCGACCCTCCCTCTTTTTTTAGAACTGTGGGAGTAGTGATATTGGCCTGTAATTGGTAAACTGACATTTCTCTCAGTTTTTATAGATTGGTATAACTTTTGCTATTTTCATTTGTGAGGGAAACACACCAGTTCAAAAGGATAGATTACAGACAGATGCAAAAGTTTTCACTATATATTCTATAATACTTTTCACTAATATCATATCAATACCAGAACAGTCAGTGGACTTTTTATTTTTAAATGTTTTCACAATGTTAATTATTTCTCTATCAGTTACAGTACCAATAAACATGGAGGACACATTCTGAGTTATATGTTTATTTAGATCATTATTAATTCTTGACTCTGGAATTTCTTTTGCTAAATTAAAGCCAACATTTACAAAGAAATGATTAAATTCATTTGCAATGTCTTTGGTTTTATCAAGCACAATATCTTTATCTTTTTTAAAATAGTCTGGATAATTCTTATTTTTTGAGCCATTTTTGATTACTCTATTTAACATCCTCCATGTTTCTTGTGTGTTACTTCTGCTTTGCTCCAGTAATGTGTGGTAATAATCTTTCTTACTTGTTCTCATAATATTTACTAATCAATGTTTATATAACTTGTACTTTAATTCAGCATCTTTTGTCCTCTGTTTTATGAATCTTTTATATGGATTACTTTTTTTTACATGCATCTTCTATCCCCTTTGTGATCCATGGCTTATTTGATCTGTAATGTTTTGTAGTGGTTTTCATTAAAGGACAATGTTTATCATATGGTGAAATTAAAGCCGATAGGAATGCATCATATGCGCTATTTGAATCTTCATTTGCATCATTCCAGTTGTGTTCCTTTAAGTCCACCTGGAGGGCAGTAATGGCTCTTGATGTTCTATGTCGTTTCATATCAAATCTTTGATTCTTTTGTGTAGTTCTAATCCCAAAATAATTTTGAAAAATTGCAAAAACAGGAAGATGATCGCTTATATCAGTTATAAGAAGTCCACCTACTATTTCATAGTCAATTTTATTTGTGAATATATTATCTATCAATGTGGCTGTATCAATTGTTATTCTACTTGGTTTTATAATTACGGGGAAAAGTGAGTTACTATACATTGTAGTTATGAAGTCTGTTGTTTTCTGATGTCCATTTGGGTTTAGCAAATCTATATTAATATCACCACAAATTATTAGCACTTTTTTATCATTTAGGTTGCAAAACATAGCAGCAAGTTTTTCATACAATGTCTCAAGACATGATCCCGGTGTCCTATAAATGCAACTTATTATTATATTGCTAGCTTTTTCAGCATGGATCTCAACAATAACACATTCCAATGCATCATCTATGGTGCTTGACATGCATTCAATCAGACTGCATTTCAAAACGTTATCAACCTATAAAGCAACACCACCTCCTTTTTTATTCACCCTGTTCATTGTAAATAATTCGTATCCTTCCAGTCCCACTTCACTAACTTTCTCATTATCGAGCCATGTTTCTGATATTGCAATTATAGTAAACTTTTTCTTACTTACACAATCTGTAATTTTAATGAACGCTTACAGGGTCTGATTGCTCAGACAAGTGTTTCCCAACCTTTTTTGACTGCTGGACCCCCTGAGCCGATTTCTCGTACCGCAGGTACCCCCTTAGTCAAACGTGTTGACAACTCCCCAAAAGTAGAACGTGCACGATTATTAAATGAAAATCATTCCATTAAATCTCACTTCCTGTCTGGCTCAGGTGAATCATTTAACTTTTAACAATCCTCGTGCAGGGTACAGAAAAAAAAAAGACTCCACGTAGAAACTTTCTGGAGCTCTGCATCCAGATCCGCATCACAGCTGATCCATATGAAACCTGGACCACATCCATTCTACTTTGTGTGTAAACAAGGCTTCAGGCCCTCTCTCAGTAGCAGGTGCAGCCCTGAATGGTGATTTGGCGTTCCCTGGTGGTGATATGTGGATAGTGCATCTGAAATCAGCTCAGTCGTCACAATCGCAATTTTCAGAAATTTAGAGTTATGAGCAATGAGGCTATTTCTAATACATTCATACTGTGAAGACATTTCTAATTTGTGTCTCTCCTAAAAAACATTTTTGACTGGAAATATGATGAAATAACAATTGAAAAGATTTATTTAAACACATTAAAGCCTAATGTTTAGTGAGTATTTTTATATTATTATTTTTTTGCCTGTTTGAATGTAGTTGTTTAAAAAACAGGAATGTGACTCGAAATTACAAATAGTTTAAAGATTTTTTTTCCAAATACACCGTAATTTTTAACATTTTTCTGCCTTGTAAACCATCATTTTGTAAGGAAGCGAATGGACAAGAAACACGTTAATAGTATAGATTTATTGTAAAACGTTGTTATTCATATGCACCATAACAGGTCATGCAAATCTCGCCTGGCATACTCTTTTTGGCACAACACCTGCTAATTTGCGCCCCACCAAAAAGATGTATTCACCAGCTGCCACTGGTTTACGTAAGTGTGATTATTATTTAGAATGTTTCCAGATGTTCCACACTGATTTTGTGTTAGACTCCATGTGTGGCGCAATCTAAACTGGAGTTCGATGTGTTTCGTAAGCACTGCACATGAAAAACTAGACTTGAAACATAATGATAGCATGCCCTCGCTCCTGGGGCATGTCCAAAACATTACACTTTGTTGGCGGTGGAAAAGAACTCATCCACTCTAACAGTGGCTAACTGCCATGTAGTACGTTTCACAACGCTTTCACGTGCAATGGAAAGAATGGGTAACCCTGGTCCTCAGTGCCTCCTGTCATACATGTTCCAGGTGTTTCCCTGCTGCCACAAACCTGATCTAAATGAATGAGTGATTAACAGGTTTCTGCAGCACTTGATGTGATTAGATGAAAACACAAAATTATTAAAATATTAAATATTTTGAACTGAAGTGAAAAATGTTCAAACAAAAATAACATTCCTTCCTGATTCATTTATCACTTCGTGTTTTTCCTGTGTTGCAAATAGTGTTTGTTGTTAGCCTCAAGGGTGATCTGCTGGCTTCTTTATCACCTGTAAGTCGCTTTGGACAAAAGCGTCTGATAAACACATAAACATAAATAAATGCAGGTAAAATTATGTTTGTAAAATTATGTTTTGCTGTGTTTTTTGTTGAGAATAATAAATAAGGTTGTATATGTACTCTTGGTGTAGCGGGGGTTCTTTTGAGCAGAGACGCAGTGGCAGATTATTCATGCGCTCCAGGCATCACCCATGGTCTGGTGACTCCACCTCACTGGCACAGCCAGGTGGTAGCTAGGGCATCACAGAGAAAGCACACTCCTGGTTTGAATCGTACCTCACAGGACGATCATTCAGCATATCTTGGCTCGGACAGTCTTCTGCCGTTCACCATCTTGCCACAGGAGTCATCCAGGGCTCTGCATTAGGACCTCTTCTCTTTGTCATATACACCACCTCACTGGGTGAGATCATTCGATCACATGACTTCTCCTACCACTGCAACGCCGACAACACCCAGCTCAGCCGTTCTCGCCGGATGACCACACAGTCTCTGCACGAATCTTGGACTGTCTCTGACATATCAAGATGGAGGAAATCCCACCATCTCCAACTCAACCTCTCTAAAACTAAATTACTTGTCATCCCAGCAAAACCATCAAACACAACACAATATCTCAATCCAAAATGATTCCCTGGCTCCTTCAAAGGCAGATTGAATTGTGGGTGTTGTGATCACTGACCAGCTGACCTTTAAAGATCATGTTACCTCTGTTGCTCGTTCATGCCGCATTGCGCTGTAGAACATACGAAAGATCAGACGGTACCTTAACACAACATGCCACCCAGCTCCTGGTGCACTCTACAGTCATCTCCCACCTCGACTACTGCATACCCTTCTAACTGGTCTTCCAGGCTGTACAGAGGCACCTCTTTAAATGTTCCAGATTGCAGCGGCACGTCTGGTCTTCAATCATCACGTTTATCATGTGTTAAAGAAACAAACTTCATTTAAGGCAATCAGCGTAAATTAGCTATTATCGCAGAAACTTAACTTTCGGCAGAATTATCTAATAAGGATGTTTTTCTGTTCAGCATCACTCCTGAACCGACGTCACCCCATCTTCTTTACAAATACTCCTTCATCCACACTGCTGAAGCAGCCTGACACAGTTTGACAAAATTTGTGGTTGGACTAAACTGATAATACGATATCAACCATATATTACATGCATTACTTTAAGTATTCATTAAGCATAACACATGCAAACCCAATGGTGTTTTCTTACCAGGGCACAGCGAATGCTGCCATCATTTGTTGATGAAATAATAATTTTTCTGCGTAACCCCTGTAATGCACTCACAGACCACCAGGGGTCAATATGGGATCCAAATGTTTACCAACTGGGAACTTGGGCTCCATTAATTTCAGTGTTTCTTGGTTTTTATTTTAGAAAATTATTCCGAACTGTAACTGATATCTTTTCATATGGATGTTACAGGTTGCATTGGAGGAGTAATGAAAATATTTCGTGTGTTTTCATTTCAATATGTAAAGGAAATAAAAGTAACGCCTTTCAAAGGGGTGATTCTTTTCTACATCCACTGTATTTAGCACCTAGAACCCCCCAAGATGCTTTACAATACAACAGTCATTTACTTATTTACACGCGGGCGGCGATAAGCTACAGTGTAACCACAGTTGCCCTGGGACACACTGACAGAAGCCCTCCGACCACCACCAGCAGCCAAGGAGGTTGTGTCCTGCCCAAGAACATGACTGCGGCACACTGAGTGGGGTGGGAACCTGCAACCCTCCAGTAACGGGGCAGGTACTTAACTCCCCTGCCATTAAAGCCTGTCATTGTGAGACAGATTCACAGACAAACATTGTTTCTCTCCTGCTCACCTTTCATGGGGGAACCTTGGAGACCTGTGGTGGGCACCACCACTCCCATCCCAGGCCCTCTGCGGTACGGGAAGTTTTCTGGGCTGTACTTTTCATTGATCACCTCCACAAAGGAACGGCCTTCCTTATCCTCTGGTGGCTCCATGGGCTCTTCGTGCTGAGCAGCTTCCCCTTCAGCTGTAGAGGTGATGATATACTGACAAGAAAAAAACTATAATTCATTTAGAAATAAGAGTCTAGTGCTAAAATATGTCCTTTGACACCACAGAAACTGGTTAACTTGATAATTCAATTAGTTTCAGAAATGTTGTCAAGAAATGTAACTTGAAATTAAAGAAATAAATTTCTCTGTAGCTCAACGATACACACATTTTTATTTATGTCAGAAATGACAAAAACTTAAATAAAAAATGCTAAATTCTTGTGAGTCATTCCGGCCATTCTGTCAACTTTATTTTTTAAAATAACAAATCTTTGATAGCATATTTATCGTGACATGAAGAAAGGACTCTGAGTAGCATCATAAAGAGTCAGCAGAGTCCACCAGAACACTTTAAACCCACAAGTTTATTTTGACAGCATTTTCTCCACTGTGCCCATCTGTCCTCCATGCTCACTGATGCTTATGTTTTGGTGGTTTGGGTACCCACTTTGGACTTGTCAGAAAATCCCGCCTCCTAGTTTGATTGACAGAAATTGGGCAGCTTTCTCCACACAGTTTATGCAAGATTAAACCTCGAAATGGGAGACTGTCAATAATGCGGGACGTGAGTCTCAGTTTGCGGGACTTGAGAAAAGTGACGAAAATGTGGCACAAAGCGGGACATCTGGTCACCCTAAGAGGGGCTGGGTGTTAGTGTTTACAGTCCAAAGAAGAAGGGATCTGCACTCGAGACTCCCTCCATGGGGAGGAGCATGACATGATGACACAGCCAAGCCCCATCCGGGTTTCCGCAGCAGCTGGGCAGACCAGTAGAGGATTAGCAACTGAGACAGGATAACGCAGTTGTGAAGCCAAACCCCGTTTTGGGGTGTTTTTCAGAAAACAACAATATAACTTGGTGAAATGCGCCAAAGAGTGGATTTAGCATGATATAATTCCTTTAGAAACAGTTTATAAGACCAAACTTGACCTAACCTTTTATTTGAGTCATAACCAAACAGATCAGTATGTTTAACGACGCTGAGCAGGCAGACCGTTGCTGTGGAATCTGCTGCAGGAATTCATCAATTATGAATCTATTTTGCTTATATAAAAAACTAAAAGATATTGTTACAATTTCATGTGCAAAAAATAAAAAATACTCCTGTAAACTGAATGGATAAAAGCACCTCTTATATTTAGCTTTAACAGTCATACCGCAAATTCAGAGTGAGGGTGTCATAGAGCTTCTTACCAGATGTGTCTTTTTATTGTGTGGCCACTGCTCACTGTCCACTGTTGTTTATGTGCTGGTGGCATGTGAGGAAAGGAGGCCTGACTTACTTCATGCGTTCTCTTATTCTATACAACACAAACATCTGCACAACCCTCACAAGCAAGATGTAACTCATTTGTTTCTATCAAATATAAATTCTTACTCCAGGGTGGCTGGTAGATGTGTGAGTGTGAGGAGAAAATAACACTACTTTCTCTTTACCCCACTGGTAAAACTGGCCTTCACGGGTCAGAAGAAGGAGGACAACCATCACATGACACTGAGGAAGAAACAAGATCAGGCTCTGTGATACTAATACACAACAAGACAGATGTAGCGCAGTAGTGATGCTCACTTAAAATCTGCACAGATGTTACCTAACAGGATTCATCAACATAATAATGTGTTATAGTGATTAAATAAACAAATGCATTTCTGCCTTTTAAATAAAGGTTTTGACATATGAAGGTCACTCTGCTGCTATATGGTAAATAATTATTTCTGATTAGTTTAATGTATCATAAACCTAGTAAATTACAAACAGGACATACTTTTTGATGAGAAAAAACAACAACAACCTAGTTGAATTTGTTTTCACATCACAAAAACCATAAACATCACACAACAGAGCTTTAAAATCAAACCAGCTCAGTTCAGACAGTAGCAGCTTAGTGCACCATTACCGCTGTCTCAAAACGAAGCAGCATTTAGATGATAAACGGGGCAGTGGAAGATAGAGGAGAAGACAACAGCGGAAGGCGTCCAGACCTCAGTCTGACGCCAGCAGCAGCTGCTCCATCATGGAGCCCGGAGATTACGGATGACATCCCCGTAAAACGCCTTCAGTCACCTCCAGGTGATGGCAGTCCACGCAGACTACATGTGACACGCTGAAATCATAACATGCGACATTTAAACGTACCTGTAGTGCCCACGGTTTTCCTGTTATTGATGAAAAGGGACAAATATTCCCATTCTTTTCTTCTTCCTCTGTCGGCGTTTTGCTGGCCGGTTAACCAACAGCTTCATCGCGCACTACCGCCACCAAGCGGTCAGGCTTACGAAACGACAGAGACAAAATGCGACTAATACTTGTAAAAAATGTGTTAATTCAAATCTAAATGAATACAAATAATTCTGTACAAATTTAATGTATTAACTGTAAAAATAAACATATTTTAATTCATAATGATGAAAGCTAAGCTTATTTAATGATTTAAGTCTGTGTTGCGATCAAATAAAATTTGCTTAATTTTTACTGTAAATTGTACAGTTTTTAACTGATTACAGATACTCTGAATACATAATGAAATTAGGATGTACTCTACCTTTATAGTGAAATAAAACTTTCAATCAAACAAAAAGTCTTCACGGAATAACCGAATCATAAGTTCTCAAGAGACATTAAGTCTTGAAAACTGCTATTTGAATTCACTCTGTTGAATATTGAAATTTGTTTGTAGATGTGAAGCATTTGAGTGACCAAAAGCAAAAATTAAGTGATTTGCATGGAATGGTTGTCCTTTTTCACAGCTCTGCTGTTTTACCAAATTGTCATTTGAATTCCAACCAAAAAATGGCTTTTTCCCATTACACAAAAATTTGTCATTTTAAGTCTTATACACTAAGCTGACTTGCACATGTGCCAATTAATAATCTTTGATCAATAAATAGTATGTAAAAATAATATAATAAAATTTTCAAATGATATTGTGAAGAAAGGAGGTGGAAAAATATGTACAATGGGTCATTTAGATACATTTATTGTAGTTAACTGGTTTATCTTACAATTTACATTCACAACAGTTCAAATTTGCATCTGAGGAAAATACTGACATTATTTATAAATTTGTACTGAGTGTAAGTTGCTCCATATGCTGCAGAACATTTTAGGGCAGTAGAAATGCAGTAAAACTTCAGGTTAAAATTGCCTGTTGTTTCAAATTTCATTCAAGATTCCATTTTCATTTAAAAACATACCATAGTTCTTGTGAAACAGTTATTGGTCATAGTTACAGCGGTCATGGGTATTCCAACCAGGGTAATTATGAGACAACAAGCAGGCCACTTGCACTGCCATCATCATGGTGGTCGTGGCTGCCTTTATGGTCATGATTGTGCTGGTCATACATCACATGGTCCTGTTTATGATGTTTGTAATGTTTATGACTGTGTTGTTGTTCATGGTCAAGTTCACGGTCATGGTCCTGTTCATCGTAATGGTCTTGATCATGATGTTTGTGGAAGTGCTGGTGGTAATGTTCGTGGTAAGGCTCATATTCATGGTCATAGTCTTGATCATGGTCCTTGTCCTGATGGCTGTGATGTTCATGTTCATATTCATCGTCATGGTCTTGATCATGGTCTTTGCCATGATGTTTGTGGCTGTGTTGTTGGTCGTGGTTTTGATCATGGTCTTTGTGGTGATGTTTGTGATGCTTATGGCCATGTTGTTGGTCATGTCCGTGGTCATGGCTATGGTCATGATCTTGCTCATGATGTTTGTGATGTTTACGGCTGTGCTGTTGGTCATGGTCATGATCTTGATCACGGTCCTTGTCATGATGTTTGTGGCTGTGCTGTAGGTTTGTCATGTTTGTGATCATTGTCATGGTCGTGATCTTGATCATGGTCCTTGTCATGATGATTGTGTCTGTGCTGTTGGCCATGGTCTTTGTCTTGTTCGTGGTCATGGTCGTGGTCTTGATCATGGTCCTTGTAATGATGTTTGTGGCTGTGCTGTTGGTCATAGTCTTGGTCTTGATCATGGTCATGGTTGTGGTCTTGATCATTGTCCTTGTCATGATGTTTGTTCCTCTGCTGTTGGTCATGGTCATGTTCGTGAGCATGGTCTTGATCTTGATCATGGTCCTTGTCACGATATCTGTGTCTGTGCTGTTTGCGTCTGTGCTGCTTGTATCTGTGGTGTTGGTCATGGTCTTGGTCTTGATCATGGTCGTTGTCGTGGTCTTGATCATGGTCGTTGTCGTGGTCTTGATCATGGTCCTTGTGATGATGTTTATGGCTGTGCTGTTGATCACGGTCATGTTCGTGATCATGGTCGTGATCTTGATCATGGCCCTTGTCATGATGTTTGTGTCTGTGCTGTAGGTCATGGTCTTGGTCTTGTTTGTCATCATGGTCGTGGTCTTGATCATGGTCCTTGTCGTATTGTTTGTGTTTGTGCGTCTTGTGTCTGTGCTGTTGTTCATGGTCTTGATCTTGATCATGGTCCTTGTCATGATGTTTGTGTCTGTGCTGTTGGTCATGGTCATGGTCGTGATCTTGATCATGGTCCTTGTTATGTTTGTGTAAATGCTGTTTGTGTCTGTGCTGCTTGTGTCTGTGGTGTTGGTCATGGTCTTGGTCTTGTTCGTGGTCATGGTCATGTTCCTGATCATGGTCGTGATCTTGATCATGGTCCTTGTCATGATGTTTGTGTCTGTGCTGCTTGTGTCTGTCTTGTTGGTCATGGTCTTGGTCATGGTCATGGTCATGTTCGTGATCATGGTCGTGGTCTTGATCATGGTCATTGTCATGATGTTTGTGTCTGTGCTGTTGGTCATGATCTTGGTCTTGTTTGTGATCATGGTCGTGATCTTGATCATGGTCCTTGACATGATGTTTGTGTTTGTGCTGCTTGTGTCTATGCTGTTGGTCATGGTTTTGGTCATGGTAATGTTCGTGATCATGGTTGTGATCTTGATGATGGTCCTTGTCATGATGTTTGTGTCTGTGCTGTTTGTGGCTGTGCTGTTGGTCATAGTCTTGGTCTTGTTCGTGGTCATGGTCGTGGTTTTGATCATTGTCCTTATCATGATGTTTTTTGCTCTGCTGTTGGTCATGGTCATGTTCATGACCATGGTCATGATCTTGATCATAGTCCTTGCAATGATGTTTGTGTTTGTGCTGTTGATCATGGTTTTTTTCTTGTTCGTCGTCATGGTCGTGGTCTTGATCATGGTCCTTGTCATGATGTTTGCGTTTGTGCTGGTTGTGTCTGTGCTGTTTGCATCTATGCTACTTCTGTCTGTGCTGTTGGTCATGGTTTTGGTCTTGATCGTGGTCATGGTCTTGATCATGGTCCTGGTCATGATGTTTGTGGCTGTGCTGTTGGTCATGGTCGTGCTTGTTATGATTGTCATGGTCGTGATCTTGATCATGGTCCTTGTCATAATGTTTGTGTCTGTGATGTTGGTCATGGTCTTGATTTTGATCATTGTCCTTGTTATGTTTGTGTCTGTGTTGTTTGTCATGGTCTTGGTCATGGTCTTGTTCATTGTCTTGATCGTGCTCATGGTCGTTGTCCTGTTCATGGTCTTGATCTTGGTCATGGTCTTGGTCTTGTTCATGATCTTGATCATGGTCTTGATCGTGGTCATGGTCATGGTCTTGTTCAAGGTCATGATCTTGGTCTTGATCGTGCTCATGGTCGTTGTCCTGTTCATGGTCTTGATCTTGGTCATGGTCTTGGTCTTGTTCTTGGTCTTGATCGTGCTCATGGTCGTGGTCTTGTTCATGGTCTTGATCGTGGTCATGGTCTTGGTCTTGTTCATGGTCTTCATCGTGGTCATGGTCGTGGTCTTGCTCGTGGTCTTGATCATGGTCATGGGGTCTTGATCGTGGCCATGGCCGTGGTCGTGGTCTTGTTCATGGTCTTGTTCATTGTCCTGATTGTGGTCATGGTTTTGGTCTTGTTCATCGCCTTGATCGTGGTCATGGTCTTGGTCTTGTTCATGGTCTTGATTGTGGTCTTGATCCTGGTCATGATCGTGGTCTTGTTCATGGTCTTGATCGTGGCCTTGATCGTGGTCATGATTTTGGTCTCGCTCATCGTCTTGATCGTGGTCATGGTCTTGGTCTTGTTCATGGTCTTGATCGTGGTTATGGTCTTGGTCTTGTTCATGGTCTTGATCGTGGTCTTGACCGTGATCATGGTCGTGGTCTTGTTCATGGTCTTGATTGTGGTCTTGATCATGCTCATGGTCATGGTCCTGTCCATGGTCTTCATCGTGGTCATGGTCTTGATCGTGGTCATGGTCGTGGTCCTGTTCATTGTCTTGATCGTGGTCTTGATCATGGTCATGGTCTTGTTCATGGTCTTGATCGTGGTCATGGTTGTGGTCTGGTTCATGGTCATGATAGTGTCTTGATCGTGGTCATGGTCATGGTCGTGGTCCTTTTCATGATGTTTGTGTCTGTGCTGTTTGTGTCTGTGCTTTTGGTCATGGTCTTGGTCATGGTCATGTTCGTGGTCATGGTCGTGGTCTTGACCGTGGTCCTTGTCATGATGTTTGTGTCTGTGCTGTTTGTGTCTGTGCTTTTGGTCATGGTCTTTGTCTTGTTCGTGGTCATGGTCTTGGTCTTGATCATGGTCCTTGTCATGATGTTTGTCTCTGTGCTGTTTGTGTCTGTGCTGCTTGTGTCTGTGCTGTTGGTCATGGTCTTGGTCATGGTCATGGTCATGTTCGTGGTCATGGTCGTGGTCTTGACCATGGTCCTTGTCATGATGTTTGTGTCTGTGCTGTTGGTCATGGTCTTTGTCTTGATCCTGGTTATTGTCGTGGTCTTGATCATGGTCCTTGTCATGATGTTTGTCTCTGTGCTGTTTGTGTGTGTGCTGCTTGTTTCTGTGCTGTTGGTCATGGTCCTGTTCGTGATCACGGTTGTGATTTTGATCAGGGTCCTTGCCATGATGTTTGCGTCTGTGATGTTTGTGACTGTGCTGCTTGTGTCTGTGCTGTTGGTCATGTTCAAGGTCATGTTCGTGATAATGGTCGTGATCTTGATCATGGTCCTTGTCATGATATTTGTGTCTGTGCTGTTTGTGTCTGTACTGCTTGTGTCTGTGCTGTTGGTCATGGTCTTGGCCATGGTCATGTTCGTGATCATGGTCGTGATCTTGATCATGGTCCTTGTCATGATGTTTGTGTCTGTGCTGTTTGTGTCTGTGCTGCTTGTGTCTGTGCTGTTGGTCATGGTCATGGTCATGTTCGTGATCATGGTCTTGATCTTGATCATGGTCCTT